CTGCCGCAGCCGCGCCGCCTGCTGCGCCTACCCCTTCGCCGTGCGCACCTTCGTCTTCGCCATGCCGCTGAGCATGGCCTGCCCCATCATGCTGGAGAGCCTCCTCTTTGACCTCCGCACCCGCAACCCCACGCTCTTCGTCTACTTCTACCGGCGCTACTGCTGGCTGCTGGTGGCCGCCTTCTTCAACATCAGCAAAATCCCCGAGCGGATCCATCCGGGGCTCTTCGACATCGTGGGACACAGCCACCAGCTTTTCCACATCTTCACCTTCCTCAGCATCTACGACCAGGTGCACTATGTGGAGGACGGGCTGGCCGAGTTCCTCAAGGCACCCCTGGCTGCCCCCACCTACCTGCACACTGTGGGGTATATGCTGCTCCTGACGCTCTGCCTGGCCGTGGTCGTCAGGAGGTTCCTCAACGTCGCGGACCTCTGCAAGCAGGACTAGCTGGGCCAGCGACCCTTGGGACAGCGACCATCATACCGGTGACCCTTGGGCTGGAGACCCTCGGGCCGATGACCTTCAGACTGGCGACCCTCAGACCAGCCCCACCACGTCCTGAAGATGCTGCGAAACCTGGGGGAAACGCACCTGTGGAAGAGCCAGGTCCCTTTCGTGGAGGGTTGTCAGAGAAAATGACCATGGCAGAACTGCTCATGCTCTTTAAACTACTAGGTTACCAGGGGAAGCAAGCAAACGCTTACTGGTATGTTGCTGCTTAGAGTATAAGCTGAAATAATTTAGTTCTGCTACTAGGAAGAATGCATGAACTGTGAATGCCACTTACTACTTTCATAACAATTAGGTTTAAACTAGCTCTGTATATACGTATATATTTATATATCTAGCTATATATTTATTAGCTACATATATATGTGTATATATATATACACCTGAAGGCACTTGTGCAATGATTACTCATAGACTTTTAATCAACTCCTGTGTGAAATTTCCTAGCGGATTATGCACTGACATTTATCTTCCTCTGTGATACTGTAACAGGCCTTTGCAGCCACATACTGGATTTTAAATGCAAACAAATCGATAGCTAGCTATAGTTTTTAAGGTCTTGCAGCCTTTTCAGCCAGGGAACAATAGATTTATCAGCGAGAGGAAGAACAGCTGTGAGTTATTACAGAATTACCAGTTGATGGAGAGACTTTAATTAGACAGGCAGTGAGTGGTTGGTGTAGCCACTCGGATACTAAAATAAAATAGAGGGATATGTAAAATAACTGAACCAGAAGGGGGTCAAACTAGTTTGGAGCGGGGGCGGGGGGAGAAGAAGGGCACTGCATAATGGCATGGCTCTTCCCCCAGCACGTCAGGAACATCTGTTGTGTTAAGGGGGTTGCTAAGGGGCCCCTTTATCTTCAGCCCTTCAGAGCCGAAGTCAGATGCCAGACTTTCTATAAGCCCCTGCCAAGCTCGGTGGGAGTTCCGTGGATGTAAAGAGAGTAACTGATGCATGAGATCTCATTCTGGATCTTTTAGAGAATTACATGGGACTGGTTTCTTCTGCTCTTTAATTAGAGCACTCTGTCAGATTTACTATCCTAAAATTAGTTGCAGAATAAGGTAGTGCTGAACCCGAGTTCAGGACCTAAAATCTGGCTCTGCAAGTACTGGATACTGGCACTTTCTCATCGTTCCCCACCTTTTCCTATTTTGATTAGTTGTGGCTGCAGCTGGGTGTTTCGAGGTCCTCTTTCAGAAGCTTTGGGGGAGTTCAAAGACAAAAATTACGAGATATTTTCCAAAGCAGTATCTTTTCACAGCAACCCAGGTATTATCCTTCTCACGCGACAAACAGCTAACTATAGATTGAACTTACCCTCCATATAAAGAGACATTTTTGCAAACTACGTGCAGATTTTAAACAGATGCATTTTGATTTTGTCTAGCAGAACAAGTAACAAGTATGCAATAATATTACACAAGGGGGTTACAACTTGAGTTCAGGTGAGAAACTGCTTGTATACCCCATTTTCAAAAAGAAGGGTGGTACTTCCTTAGGAAACGCTGGTGTCATACTGCACAATAGCGCGGTGGCTCTTTAACTCAGCCTCTTTGCCCCTATTGTGGAAATACGTTTGTGCTTGGGTCTTTCCCATTTTCATGGACGTGGCATCCGAAGCCCAAGAAAATGTTTTGAGTCCAGTCCCATAGTCTTCTGTAAGACAAAGCCCCCTCTGTTTATAACGGGAATATAGGAAGGACTATAGCTAGGGATTATGAGGTCAAATCCCTCATATGGGTCAGAATCATCACGGAGACCAGTAATTGATATGCCCTGTACCAATGTCAGCTTTGTGAAAATTTCCCTATGAAAGTTCATAAGCTAAAAGAAAATTACACCCACTTCATTTTATCTTTTATCTCAACCCATTTTAACCATAATGGTTTGGATCTTCTAGATTCGCAGTGAATGATGAGAATGGCCTAACAAAAATTTGTATTCTTTGCCAGCCACAGTTCTGCTAGCATATAATTTGTGGTAGGGTCACATGTGGTCTCTTGAAGAGATGGCTAGAATTTTCTAAAACAGCAGTTCCCAAACTGTGACCTCTTGAGTTATCACTGATGGGCCATAAAAAACAGCACGGCCCTGTGTGGCTGTCCGTGTTCTGTTTTCATTTGCCAACCTGCATTAAAAGAAAATGAAAGCTACATGAACTATTTTTAATTTTACATATTTTCATTAACTTTTGTCATAAATATGGCATTGCTTTATTCAGCTGCCAATAAAGCAGAAAATGATCTGCACCACTGGGAGAGGAGGCTGGTTCACAACACTGTTATGCTTTGAAATGTGCTTTATATTGTGAAAAAACCCTGGAAACTCACAATAGAAAGCAAATGGGTCAAGACTTGCAACGATGCCATCCTATGATTTTCCACAACTGCAAAAAGAGGCCAAAATCTTTGAGATGTGCTGTATTCAAGTTAAAATAATAGAGGCATAGTAGTTAGAGCCCAATGACTCATCCAAGTTTCAAAACTAATTATGTAGAAAGGGTTTGCCTGGGAGATGCCACTAGCATGTCCAACCAGCAATTAAAAACTAAGAAAGAAATCAAAAAGGCCGGGGACAGCAAATCTCAGCAATAGAAGACAGCTCAGAAACAAGCAACAGTAAAAGCCAAATGTAAAAAAAGGCTTTTAAAGCATACTGTATATTGAATTATTTTTGTGCTTGTCAGTCACAATGTAGAGGACAACTCAAGAGGCAATGTCAAAAAAGGCTGTTGCTAACTTGTAAAAATACATTTGATATTTGCAGTTAGGCCACACAGGGTCATCTATATATATCTCAACGACAGATAACAGCATAAAGGTTGGATTGCAACCAACTGCAATTTTACTGGAATCTTACTGCTGTTATAAGAGTTGCCTATGCACCCCAGTCACGCTGCAGATTTGGTATCTGGCTCTGATATTAAGAATGTTGCTTCATTTAAAAGTTTCTATTGGCAAAATGTTGAGGCACGTGTATGGGCCTGAGCACTTCGTGGAGTTATTTGCAAACGCTGGTTGCAAATACTGCTCTCTGAGCCACTGTAAGCAGGAGGTATGCGTCAGGAGTGAATGGGTACCGGGAGATGTGATTAGATTTTAAGAGTTCTAATTAATGTATGTTTGCTCGTTTGGCTGTTTGTTTAAAATGTGGCTACAAATTTAAAAGTTACATTAAGTGTGGAGAATATCTAGGGAAACGCTACCTGAGTGCGTTTATTCAGTGAAGGGACATGTATGTAGATACTTGCTCCATTTGCCATGTCCGATAGCCAGTCTCTGTAAATATGGACAGAACAAAACCGAGTTAAAGAGGTTAAAAGTGGAGCAAGATATCTATAATTATAGTGCTTGAATTTGCTCGTGTAGAAGTGAATGTCAGCATTTGTGTGGCTCGTAAGGGAGCGGGATCTCTTTTTGGTATGAAAGCCACATGGCTGAACATCCGTAAGCATGTCCAGAGCTTAGACAGGAGGTCTAACCTGCAGACTAGATGCATAAGGACATCCTAGAAAACAAACTTTTTTGCATAAGTACCTGTCATAATGTTTTTATTGCCTGGGGACCTGCCGTAAGGTCTACACTGTGGGCTCCACAGCTCATCTTTAAAACCACAAAGGCTTTTTAAGCCTTTTGTGGTAGAATCTGTGTGGGGATGGGGGACGAGGAGAGGACTGGAGCACAAGGGGATGGCCTGAAAATGCCTATGTGTCTTTCCGTCTTCGGCCAACACTGACCTTCAGACTGACATGCCTGTGCCCGTGTGAACTGACTGTTGAAGGGGCCAGTTCCCAGCGTGTTGGTGCCACGGACACCCCCCCCTTGCAATCAGCATGTGCCTAGAACTGCAGTCTACGCGTTGGCGTATATTCAATACGCCTAGCTCCTGGGCACTTCCGAGTAACCTGTAAGCTTCAAACTCATCTTCGTGTAAGATTGATATACCCGTTCTGTAGTAATTATCCCGTACTCTGTGGCGATACGCTGTTTCTTCTTCTGCAGTGTATTCATTTGAATGTCACTAGCCAGGATATCTGTGCAGTTCTGAGCTGCTTCGTTAGCGGGACTGGAGTCTGCAGTCTGGAAACAAAGGGACAGGTTTCATCTGCATGCTGCACTTGTAGAAGTTTAGCAGTTAAAAGTAGAAGCACATTGTTTTTTGCTAAAATGATAGTTTTGCTTAGTTGTCCAAGTGTTGTGCTTATTATTTATTTGCTGAATCCAGCTACTATGTTGGGTTTTTGTCAACAGTGCCCCTGCAGAAAATGACAGTATGAAAGTTTTACTTCATGTTTAAGTAAACTCTCTGAGGCAGCACATTCATAAAGTATTATTGCACTTAACTCGGTTGATTACCATCCACATGCCTTACAGAAGCAAATCATACCTGTAGTAATTGCCCAGATTATACTGTTTTTCATTGCCTATGAGAGTAAAAATGACCAAGTGGCGGGTAACAAGCTGAGGAGTCAGGCACTCCTGGGTTCTTGTCCCTGCTTTGCCACTACCTGTTCTGTAATCTAGGGCAAGTTGTCTAAACTGTGTTCATTTTGAATGAATTTAATTCATGTAAAACACTGGAATTGTACCAGGGTTGAATTTGACCCTCTGTGTCTCAGTTTCTATATCTGTAAGATGGGGACAATATACCTTACCTACCTCGCAGGGTTGCTCTGGAGACTAGCTAATGTTTGTAAAGCACTTAAAAATGCAAAGACCCTCCTAGGTGCTAAGAAGAAATATTACTGAACTCCGGCAGAAAGAATGTTCTATTTTTCCGTAGCTCCTCATCTCACAGGGAGAGGAACATGAACGCTTCTAGATCATGAACTCTTGGGACAAACTCTCGTCATTGCCATACTCCTAGGAGGTTCACATCCTGTGTCCTTTGGAGCTGATGGCAAAATTTCCACTGGCTTCAGGCGGGGGGCAATCAAGACCTAATCAGTAGCACACAGGCTGACTAAATGCTTAAGGGTCAGGAGTAAAGAGAAAACATAAATGAGTTAAGTACTTTTTGGGAATTCTCACTGGTGACTTCTACCGAGGGGCACTGTAATGCTGACATGAGGCCTCGTTGTTCATTTAGCCATGGATTGTATTCCAGTTACCGTGAAACAATGGAGCAAGATTTCCCATCAGTGTCTGTAAGACTACGATTATGTCTCAGTTGCCATTGGGAATTTCAACCTACTTCAAGCTACTTCTTACCGGAGCAAAAAGATCTTAAATAAATGAAGCTTTTGAATAAACATGGGTAAGCATTTGGGAACATAAAATTGTATTGATCAGACAAACACCTTTCTCTTTTCCCCTCCCGTTCTCCAAAACCAACAACCTGGAGCCAATCCTATTCTTGAGCTCAAACTTGGATCTTCCTTTGCTGTGGAGCCCTGACTAATCATCCTGCTAACCTACTCTGCCCTTCTCCTGGAAGGACTGATATAAACAGCCCCACTGAGTAGAGGACGGTGTTTTTAAGAGCTTTTCTAACTGGCAGGAGTAGTGGAGACAAAAAAAAAAAAGACAACAAAGACATCAAAAGGTTTGAGTGGTTCACTAAGTCAAAGCCTCTACCGTTAGAAATTTGCCCTATCCGAGTATATTCCTAGCTTCTGGCAGACACCTGTAAGTCAGGGCTACACGACCAACACCCAAATTACAGCTGAGACTTTACCCTCTTCTCCTCAGATGAGGTGCAAGATACTGAGGAAGTGTCACATGCACTGAAAGACACAGACCTCCATTCAAGACATTTAGTGTCTTGGAGCTGGGTGTGGAATAAAGTTAAATTATTTTCATAACTCGCTTAGACAGATGCTGCTTCATTCCACTGAATTCAGTAATAAATTAATGACCAAGACAAAGGAAGCAGGCTTTTGCTCAAAGTTCCCTGTAAGGAAACACCACCAGCAGACTTCTGCTTTCAGGGCAATTGCTTCCTGGGCCATACTCAGAACATGGAGGATTCTGAAGTAGGGCTTCGCTATTTCATGTGAATTACTTAGGATTTGTGGTTGTAGCTGGGGGTTAATAGTATGGAGAAACAGTTTATAGCGAGTCAATTCTGTCTGCTAGAGTCAAGCACGCTGTAGTAAGAGGTATTACATTTAAGGGTCTGTGCATGCAATGAACAAACAGTGTGGATTTTGTTTGGTTCTGTTGGGAGGGTTTGAAAATTTACTCTTTGTACACTTTTTGGATGCTGAATACTGTATATGTAATGACTATGCATTTTTAGCAAAAAAGGTGTGAACTATAAATAAAGTTGATTCTGAGTACATTTTTGCAGAAATGCATTTATACAGTTTTGTCATTTCTTAATATAAATTACTGTGACACCTGTAG